TGACATCTGCCTGCTTCTAGTCTGCCTGTTACTAGCCTGCCCTGCTGTGGTATCTGCCTGCTGCCAGTCTGCCTGTTACCAGCCTGCCCTGCTATGACATCTGCCTGCTTCCAGTCTACCTGTTACCAGCCTCTCCTGCTGTGGTATCTGCCTGCTTCCAGTCTGCCTGTTACCAGCCTGCCCTGCTGTGGTATCTGCCTGCTTCCAGTCTGCCTGTTACCAGCCTGTCCTGCTGTGGTATCTGCATGCTGCCAGTCTGCCTGTTACCAGCCTGCCCTGCTGTGGTATCTGCCTGCTTCCAGTCTGCCTGTTACCAGCCTGCCCTGCTATGACATCTGCCTGTTACCAGCCTGCCCTGCTGAGGTATCTGCCTGCTTCCAGTCTGCCTGTTACCAGCCTGCCCTGCTATTACATCTGCCTGCTGCCAGTCTGCCTGTTACCAGCCTGCCCTGCTGTGGTACCTGCCTGCTTCCAGTCTGCCTGTTACCAGCCTGCCCTGCTATGGCATCTGCCTGCTTCCAGTCTGCCTGTTACCAGCCTGCCCTGCTATGGTATCTGCCTGCTTCCAGTCTGCCTGTTACCAGCCTGTCCTGCTGTGGTATCTGCATGCTGCCAGTCTGCCTGTTACCAGCCTGCCATACTGTGATATCTGTCTGCTTTTAGTCTGTCTGTTACCAGCCTGTCCTGCTGTGAAATCTGCCTGCTGCCAGTCAGTTTGCTACCAGCCTGCTGGCTGTGATGGCTGCCTGCCACCAGCTGCGCTGTCCTTGGCATCCTTCCAGCGAAGTGTCAGCTACTACGCACGCAGATCATTGGACTGATCACAGGCACTCATACCTTGCTGTGCTCTCATGGTTACTGTTCCACTATCAGTGGCCCCTGAGCTGGAGCTGTACAAGAGGCCTTCCTCAGTACATTATGCAAAGCCCAAACTTTTCATTTTAGTTTTGAATAGAATATTAAAGAGTTAGAACCTATGTTGAGTTTTTCTTGCTGTCTGTGCCATCAAATGGGGAGATTCACTCTTTATAGTTGTACTGGTGAGGTGATGGAAACCCAAAATGTTTCAGTTGTCAGGGAAACAAGAGGTATGGGCTTCAAGTACCATCTCTATGCTGATGACATGCAAATCTGTCTACCCCTCACCTCACCCCTTCAGTCTCCACTCGCATCACTAGCCTACTCAGTGACATATCGGCTTGGATGTCACTCCACTTCCTCAAACTCAACCTCTCCAAAACTGACCTCCTAGTATTCCCCCCCAGCCCATGCCACCTCCACTGACCTCACCATAAATATCATAAACATCAGTCCATCCCCCCATGCCAGGGTACTAGGTGTAATCCTAGACTCCCATCTGTCATTCCAGCCCCAGATCTAATCACTGACAAAATCATGTAGACTTCACCTCCGCAACATCTCCAAGATACGACCGTTTCTAACCCCGGCAACCACTAAGCTACTTATTCACTCCCTTGTCATATCACGCCTCGACTATTGTAACTCCCTCCTCATTGGCCTACCCCATCGCAGGCTATCCCCACTCCAGTCTATCATGAACGCTGCTGCCAGGCTCATCCACCTTACTAACCGTTCTGTATCTGCCTCCCCTCTCTGCCAATCCCTCCACTGGCTCCCAGTTGCCCAACGGATAAAATTCAAAAACACTAACATTGACATATAAAGCCATCCACAACACTGCCCCAATTTCATATCATATCTTATCTCTAAATATCACCCAAACCGTACACTGCGCTCCTCGCAAGACCTCCTACTCTCTAGCTCCCTTATCTCCTCCTCCCATGCTCATCTCCAAGACTTCTCCGGGGCGTCACCCATCCTTTGGAACTCCCTACCCCAATCTATCAGACTATCACCTACTCTACTTACCTTTAGGCGATCATTGAAAACCTATCTCTTCAGGGAAGCCTATCCCGCCCTCTGATAATATTGGTATCCTCTATGCTTCCAACCACTCCATCCCCCACAGTTTTACCTATTGTACCACTCACCCCTCCCTCCTAGATTGTAAGCTCCAAGGAGCAGGGCCCTCAACTCCCTCTTGTATTGAACTGTATTGTTACTGTATTGTCTCCCACTATAATGTAAAGCGCTGAGCAAATAGTTGTCACTTTATAAATCCTGTATAATAATAATAATTTAAAAAAAAGTATGGGTAAACTTCTAATGGGGAAATCTGTTCATGTGGCAGCTGTCTGGCAGGAGATATACTCATGCTTTGCAGACATCCCCACTTACTTTTTGATGTGTCTCCAGGACAGGAAATTAAATAAATCACCCCAATTGTACATTAATAGAAACAAAAAACCCTGACAAGGCCTTGACCATTTTCTGCACTTTCCAAAACTATAAATGCATGGCTTTGCAAACACATTAAACTTGACTTAATCTCTAAAATGAACACTTAAAATCTGTAGCACTTAATCATACCCTGTAACATCACTCTGAAATTTAAAGTAGAACTATAGGCAAAATTTTTTTTCTTCATTTTGGATAGAGAAAGGGAAGGTTATAATCCCTGTCAGATTTTTTTTTTTTTTTTTTTTACCATCTATGTTCCATTTTAGAGATTTCCCTTCCTTTTCTGCCCCATAGCCAAACAGGAAATGAGAGGAAATCCCTGCACATTAAGGGAATTCCTTGGGGATCCCCAGGTCACCAGAACTAGTGTCCCCATTGGCAGATTTCTCCTCTATTACTTTTCTGGGGACAACCCAAAATTTGGGATTTTCCTTTATTTTCACTTTCAATGATAATGTTAAACAGGACAATAAAAAATTGACAAGCATTCAAAACTCTCTCCACTCTATCCATAACTATAGAAAAAGGTTTGCCTTTAGTTATACTTTACCTGACCCCAAAAAATAACCCAATCCTTCCTCTAATCTTATCTTTTAACCTAACACAAAGTTCGCACTAGTGATGCACCGAAATTTCAGTGGCTGAAACGTTTCAGCCGAAAAACACCCCTTTCTGCCGTCGGCCGAAATGAGAAAAAGCACCGATACAGGTGCCGAAAAAAAAAACCCCGCCCCTTGCTGCCTCCCACCCAGCAGTCCCTCCACTTTCCTATTAAAAACTGACTACACTAGGCATGAGAGCACAGCATGGTCTGGCTGTGCTGAGAACTCAGTCTGCTCTCCTCCAATGATCAGACATTTACTTACACCCCTCATACCTCCCCCCCCCCCCCGCACAGCCGTTCACATGGAAGGTACTGCTGTTTCTCCTCCCCTAGCTCTCTAAGCTCCTTATGCAAATGAGAAGAGATACTATATGATTACTTATAAAAAAGGGTAAAAAAAAGTATTTATAATGTTTTTATATGTATACACAAATGTTTTGCCTTTCATTTCTGTTTTAAACTGAATGGAGTACATATACTTTAACTTTGAACCTTTCTAACCCTTTAGCTTACAATAAACTAGATTTTAACATCCTTAAAATTGGGTACCCAGACAATTTATTTAGAATCCCTGTACTAAGATCTTACAGTGGCAACATCTTGGCTCTAAGAAGTGTGATATATTTAAAAAGAACAAAGAACTTTGCATTTTCTGCCTATTTTGAGTTAATATTACATACCACATGTTACATCCAATCATGGTCGTGTGCAGGTGCTCATATATAACATTATTGAACATACAAGAGCATTTGTCCTTGGTAACACATCCTCCTTTTCCATCAGCTAACAGGGTGGCGGGACAAACACAACCCGATACACATTCAACGCTATACTGTTAGATAAAATAAACAGAAATTTGGACACATATGAATTTTTAGTTGATCAACAAAGAACTGTTCAAAAATCAGAATGCAGAAGAGTATGAAAAAAAAAACCTTTGCTCTCAAAATAAATCTGAAAAACAAAACCTTAAATCCTGGAATACAATCCAGTGAAAAGGATGAAACTAGAACCAGAGAAGACAATACAACTTTTTTAGATCCTAGTCATATGGCCGTAATAGGTCAATGATGTGACAAACATACCCCCTTCTGATTGGCTGGGCACTGACAGCTTCCTTTAGGTCCAGACCAAACAAAACTTTCCCTACTATAAAATGCCAGTTGGATGTATATGCACCCACAGGCTAAAAGCTACTATTCTTACCCTGGCCCCAGCTGTTTTCCAGTGGATAATGACTTTACCTACTTATCTGTAGCTAAAATGCTTTCAAATCATTCCTCTAGGGTACATCACTGCAAATTGCAATGTTTATAAAAATAATAATAATAATAATACCGAAATGCTATAATTTTTTTCTGAGATTAAAACAATATTAAACTCAAAAACAAAACGTAATATATATTGCAGCTTTCCAATTCGTAGATGTGGTGGCTGAATTTATTTTGGTGAATCTGTTAATTTTAACTTTCTTTAACATACCAAGCTGTCTAACACTGTCTAAAGTGGTAGTTACAGGATTGGGGCAAACCATTTAACACTGACAGGGGTTCCAGAAAAAACTGCTTAAAAAGTGTTAGCTGGAATTTGTCTGTAATTTGTTAGCCAATTCCTTCTAAATTTGCTAGTGCATTCAATATTACCCCATAGTTGACAACATTTAAAAAACATTTCTAGGGTCTCCTTTTTACTGTGTGTTAAGCAAGCCATTATAGGTGTCTTTTAATTAAGGGCAGGACATTCATTTAATATGGGTGTGGGCTCTACAAGATGCATACTTGCAACCTAATGGCATCCTTTAATTATTCATAAATCTGAGAGCTGTTGTTGTCATGCAATACCCAACAAAAACACTGGTACTAACAGTAAACATATACATTGATCCCAAGGTTTTAAAGGAACACTGCAGGCAATGGGCAGTATTCCAGGAGACGGGTGTGGCGGGTATGACAGTAGACAGTATGCACAGGAAAAGAGTGTGGAAAGTAAGACAGTGGGCAGTATGTTCAGGGGAGGGATGTGGAGTGTATAACAGTGGGCAGTATGTACAGGAGAGGGGAGTGGAGGGTATGACAGTGGGCAGTATGTACAGGAGAGGGGAGTGGAGGGTATGACAGTGGGCAGTATGTACAGGAGAGGGGAGTGGAGGGTATGACAGTGGGCAGTATGTACAGGAGAGGGGAGTGGAGGGTATGACAGTGGGCAGTATGTACAGGAGAGGAATGTGGAGGTATGACAGAGGACGGTATGTACAGGAGAGGGGAGTGGAGGGTATGACAGAGGACGGTATGTACAGGAGAGAAGTGTTGAGGGTATGACAGTGTGCAGTATGTACGGGAGAGGGGTGTGGAGGAAAGGACAATGGGCAGTATGTACAGGAGAGGAATGTGGAGGTATGAGAGAGGACAGTATGTACAGGAGAGAAGTGTTCAGGATATGACAGTGTGCAGTATGTACGGGAGAGGGGTGTGGAGGGTATGATAGTGGGCAGTATGTACAGAAGAAGAGTGTGGAGGGAATGACAGCGGGTAGTGCGTACAGGAGAGGGGTGTGGAGGGTATGAAAGCAAGCCATGTGTGTGGGGAAGCAGTTTTGAGGATGCTGAGCAATAAATGCAGTAACATTTAGAAATGTGGAGGGTTCAGGGGACGTAATATGAACATAAGAGGAAGGAGCAGTGTATAACAGTAAGCAGTATGTATAGGAGAGTAGTATGGAGGGTATGGTGGTGTGTGCAGAAAAGGAAGGCAGAGGGTATACTGGTGGGTATTTAGTGCAGGAGTGAAGGGAATGATGACAGGGTGTGCAGGAAATGAGTGTAGAATGCATGACAGTGTAGAATGCATGACAGTGTATCATGTGCAGGAGAGCAGTACAGAAAACTAATGCAGCCATCACATGGCTGATTGTTGATGGCACACCATACATCTGGAAATGTGTGCACCAAACTACATGGTGCCGCAGCACCCTGTGGTTTGATGGGGCACATTTTTGGAAAAGAGTCAGTGGCTTATTTTCTGTGTTGCACACGCATAGTGCAGCTCATTGTAATGAATGGGCTTGCCCTACATAAGACACATGAAAAACACACTTGCGCTTGGTTGCACCTGTTTGTGTGAACCGAGCCTTTAACTGTGAGTAGTTACAAAATAAGAATCCTCAATAAACATACTGTAAATGATTCTATAAATAGTCAATGTTCATACAATTGTGCTTTAAACCGCTCCGCTCTGTTTAACTGAGTGTTGTTATTCTGTATCTAGCCACAGAGCGTTTCGTTTATGTGCTCCGTTTACAATTTTCATTGTACATGGTTTCGATAACATAGGATTAAATAGCATGGCCATAAGTTAGTTTTACAATATCTGGACATACAGAGTGCTTGAGACACCTATATAGACAAGATGTGTTCCTGTTTAAGAGATGTTTGTAATTTGTAATTTCTGTCACCCTTCTCGTGCCCTGAAAACAAATCCTCCTGTGTTCTGACCTGGCAGACTTCCAGTTTACCCCCCCCCAGACTTTTGGAACATTGGATCAGCTCACCTTCCTTCCTACATGTTAGTATCAGCTCTGGGCCCTTTCAGCAATGGTGATTGGGAGGGAAGGGGGGCACAGTGCAAGTGTACAGGAGATTGCTTAAAGGGGAGGGGGGGGACAGAAAGGAGATTTGGAGCTTTTGGAGCATATACGGCCGGTGGTGTATGTATTTTGAAGCAATGACAGTGCAGCTGCCCTAATAACTCAGATTCCAGGACAAAGTCTAGCTCTAAAGTGACACCCTACTAGAGATCATGACTATACCGGCTAATCCATGAAAGTTGGCAACTATGCTACCCCTCCTCCAAAGATTGACAATGCTGCTGTCCAAAAGTGTTTCCCTCATGAACAGTGGAGGCACCACAGACCAGGAAGTGTGTTACCGGGCAGAACACAGGTGAAAATAAAGAAAAGAAAACTAAAAAAAAAACAAATGCAGCCCTCATACTTAATGATTGGTAAACTGCAATATATTCATTTTTTGTTTTTGGGTTAAATACCACCTTTAGGTAGATGGAACCTTCAGTGGACATAGTGTGCTCCCTTTCCATTCAGTTTGGTCCATTGAGCTATTTAAGTTTGATGTGCATGGCTTACAGAAAATGGCTGCTCTTTGGTAAAATCTAATGAGTGTGTACAGTAACAAATTTTGATAATGGGAGAAACAAAAATTATACTTACTTCCAGGGTTTCCATCAAAGAAATATATCGAGGAAGGAGATAGACACATCAGAGATAAGTATTATCATACCCAATGTAAAATTAGTATTCATACTCACACAATCAATATCTAAGGTTTGGCAGCTTTCTAAACATTCAATTCCAGTGGCTCCAGGAGGTTCCAAGGAGCAATTAAAGTAGACCATAGGTGGTTTACAGTCTGAGTAAGTAAGAGAGGCACATCAGGGCATGTTTTGTTATAGGGGGTACTATCTTATTGATTAGTAAAGTTTTTTTTTTTTACTGTATTTAAATTATTATTTTGACAGATGATAAATCAAAGTGGTTATGGTGATACAGGCCAAACAAAACACCCTCCAATACAATAGTGCAATGCACAGCAGAGCCTTAGAGCCACTGTAGGTACCTGCATAATGGCAAGTCACTTCCAACAGAAATAAGAAAATGCGGGGTTTATGCTTCATTTAAAGTGTATCTATACCCAAAACTTTATTTTTTAGCTTTGGATTGAGTGGAGAAGGAATAGAACTCCTGTCAGGTTCTACTGCTATTGGAGGCTCCAATGGAGAGCCTTTTTAACTTCCAGTCTGGTTAAAAGGTTGTCCCCAGGACAGCAAGTGAGAGGAAATCTCTCTATTAGCAACACAAAGATAAAAAGGGTTTTCTTTTTGTTAGGTAGTAGAACCTTTGTCAGCTTTTTATTGCTGTCTGTTTCTGTGTTGCAGATTTCCCAACACTTCTGGTCTGGAAAAGGTTGTCCTCCAAAAACAGAAAGTGAAGGGAAAACTCTTTAACCGAGCCCTGGAAAGCAGTAAATCCTGACTGCAGTTCTAATCTTTCCTCATTCCAGATACCTTCTGTTTAAAGAATGCATTACAGTCTGTACAGAACTAAAAGAAAATAGTACTTTACATGCCAAATGCATGTTACAACGAAAGGTAAACTCCAGGCAAATATAAACCAATGATTAACACAGTTAGGTCACATATTAATTATATTTAAACTGCAGCTAGTATCCAAATCTATCTGGATATCAGTCCACTGTCCTCTAGGACAGAAAGTAAAGAGAAATTACCCCGCCAGTAATATGATCAAAGTTTAGATTGCTTGATCCTCTCCCTCAGCAAAGATCAAGTGCCTAGATCAGAGTAGACAACCTCAGCACTCCAACTGTGGTGAGACTACAAATCCCATCACACCTCCACCTCTGAGAGTCATGCCTGTGGTTGTCAGTCTTGCAGTGCCTTGTGGGACATGTAGTTTTACAGCAGCTGGAGTGTCCAAGTAATGCCTACCCCTGGCCTAGACCTTCGCACATATGGACAGCACTGAAGGGAGCTCGGACTAGCATTTTTGCCAATCTTTATGTATGTATTCTAAGAAGGCTACTAACTTAGATTTATGATAACATTTACAGTTGAACCCCAAGAATGATCTTTTTTGAAACTTACATTGGGCCAGCTTGGGTACAAGTAACCCTTCATAGAACATGTCTGTGCTACAAAGAGTCAGTGAGGGCATCTTCCAGGTTCTGCTTGAGCAAGTTTCTTTCTGTATACTAAACACAGGGGCCAATGGTATGGCACCTCTGCCAATCAGAGAATGTCTTGTATTTTTTCAGTGAATACAATGCATTTTCTCATTGGACAAGTTGGAGAGGAGCGTAGAATGTTGTCACTATCTCCTCATCCAATCATACAATGAGCTTGCAGCCACCATGGAATACAAGCAGTACCTAAAACCTATTAGTAAGGAGGTCTATCAGGAAAATTCCAACAGCTGGAAAGCACCACTACCATTTTGTGCCTTGGGAACAGCGCAGTCATCAGAAATTTTGGGGCCTTACACAGCTTTAGGCCTGGGCATCCTTGGGCCTGACTACCAACATTCCCCTAGGCCCGCTTATTGGCTATCCCACTGAATCTACCCACTGGCCATCCCACAAAGGCCCATACTATGTCCTCCTCCTTCTCCATCCCATGTCCTCTTCGCCCAGTCTCATTTCGGACATACCATGTCCTCCTCCTCAATCCCATGTCCTCCACCTCAAGTCAAATCTCCTCCATCTCATATCCACCTCCAGTCCCATCTCCTCCATCCCACGTTCTCCTCCTCCTCCACTCCCTCCTCCAGTCCCATATCCTCCCACTACAGGTGGGGGGGCAGTGAGACAGGTTGGGGGCAGTGGAACGGGTTGGGACAGCGGGAAAAGAGGGGGCAGGGGGATGGGAGGAGGAAGTGGGACAGTTAAGGGGCAGGGGGATAGGAGGAGGGCAGTGGGGTAGGAGTGGCAGCATATCGGAGGGAGGCAACATGAGAGGAGGGGGGCAGTGGGACAGGAGGGGCAGCAGGACAAGAGGGTGCAGCGGGACCGGAGGGAGGATGCATGACAGGAGTGAGGAAGCATGACAGGAGGGGAGCAGATTGACAGGGTTAGTGTGACAGGAGGGGGGCAATGTGAGTGGGGGAGTATGACGGGGGTTGTCACTCACTGTGTGCTCTCACACATCTTGGACAACACCAGTCCTCCCAGTTCTCACCTGCTAGCAGCTTCTCCAGATGGTTTCAGTGGAGAGGATCCGGTGCCAGGTAGCTGAGCCTGTGTCCCATCTCCACCAGGATCTCCAGCAGCAGCAACAGAAAGCAGGGGGACTCCTGACCTTGTCCTCCTCTTCCTCCTCATCCACAGGGCCTTCCGCCGGAACCCCCTGGCCTCACCCACCCACACAGCCCGATGCACAATGCAGTTCCTGGCTGGAGCCTGCCTGACAGTGGGCCCCAACCGCTCCCTGTACACACTAAGGATCCGCCCTCCTCTGCAGCCAGTCTGCTCTGACAGCAGCTTTCCTATGTTAAATACAGCCCTAGCCAGACCCCATACTTAGGTTTTGGCTGTCCTGCCCTGATGGCAGCCCTGCTCAGAAAAGAAACTAACAAATAATGTTAAGTATGCAGAAACAGGATTTACTTTATAACGCACCCTGACTAGGAAACTTGAGTTGAAAAAACACTTTGTTGACTTTATGCAGAAGGTGTTTGCAAGAGATCATGCTGAGCCTGCACCACCTCTTAGGGAAGGAGATGAATGTTGGTATCTCAATATGAAGCTTTCCTTCTCTCTGGGATTAATCTGGACAACAACCTTATGTTAGTTTTGCTCCACTTCAGACAAGAACCAGTTGCTGTTTTGGCTGACATTCAACAAATGTTCCACTGTTTCATTGTTCAAGAAGACAACAGAAAAAGGTTTCCATGGTATTGCAACAATGATGAATCCATCACAATTCACA